ATATATATATATATATATATACATATATATATATATATATATATATATACATATATATATAAGCATTTTAAACCCTTCCCACACTCTTGCTATATTCTAAACAATGTTTCTAAACTCTTAACACTAAAAGAGCACCGAATGTAATGATTTCAGCTCCCTGCATCCTCTACTCTTTGCCACCTGCAAGCGCTCTTGGCCACGCCCACTTCTACACTCTGCATCTGAACAGCTGATCAGCTGCAGCAGGGAGTTTATCCTGCAGTGTGGGCTGCACAAAGCTGCAGGATGAAGCTTTTTCTGCTGCTCTGGGCTGCACAAATGTGCAGCAGGTGCTAAATAATTTTAAATAATGTATTTAAAATAAAAAAAATTCCATGCTGATCGTGTGGCTCATCCATCAATCAGCCAATTGTGTGTCATGTCCAGTCTTATTTTGAAAAACCGCGATAGAGCTAATTTGTGATAAACCAAGTAGCGAGGGACTACTTTAACTAATTACAGATAAATCTTATGTCAGAATATAATATAAGACACAAATAAAAGACAACAACAAGCCTAATTTTGACTACGACTTTGTTTCTGCAAAATCAATTTCAGAAAAAAAAAAGACTTTAGATCAACAGCAGCCGGTAATTATGTCCCTAAAAAACTGTTCAACTTGACTGGCTAAAACTGGCAGAATTAATATGTTTTTCTTTTTATTCAGTAAGGTTTAATTCCTGCAGGAACCAGCCAAGATAATTAATTAACTTCTTTCTGTGACGAGTTTAGGTTTAAACAGGAAGACCAAACACAAACATGAACTGAGCATGCAGGTACAGTACAATGAGGAGAATCAGCTCTAATCAGGTAAAATAAATCTTAATATAATATTGAACGAGCCATGCAACATTCATGCTGCGCTGCTCATGTTTCATTATTGTAGTGGAAACAAGTGCATGCGCAAATGTCAAAGAGGAGACTCACAGTCTCAGCATCCGAGTCGGGGACATTAAGGTACCACCTTCTTTCAGAGCCAGGAGTGGAGGACTGGGATTTACCAACAGGAGCGGAAATAAGAAATAAAGAGAAGGAGCTTGTTGAGGATCAATGCAGAGAGCCAGGCTACCAGCACCAGGAAACCCCATTACACACTGTTACCATGGCGATTATCATATAAAACCACAGAGAGTACAACTCATCTGGAATCAGCAGTGAAATCAAGAGAGATGCACAGAAAACGCAAACAGTAAGAAACAAGTGTGCAGAAATGAAGTGCACCCAAGAAAAGTCTAAAAATAAAAACTAAAGTGTTTGATAAAAAATAAAAAAAATCCTTAAAGCCTAAAAGCAGATCTTACAAACACTTTTTTTTTGTTTCTAAAAACTTCTATTTAATATATAAACACGCTTCAGGGGCAGATTTCATCAGAGCTCTGTGTTGTTTCCTGTCAGCTCATTTATGCAGCGAAACGAACTACGAGTCACCTTTAATCTGCTTCCAACCTTTAGTTCTTCAACGCTGTTGAAGAAGATTACATAAATATTTTATTTTAAAAAGTGGAACTTCAATACCATTAGCAAAAGACCTGCGTGCGTTAAAAGTCCGAGACTGTTGTTTGGATTCATGTTTCAGTGAAGCGTAATTTTCCGGCTGAAGCAACAGATTTGAATGCAAAGTGTAGCATCAATAGTTACGCAGCAGCAGCGTATCTCTGCATCAGTTTGCTCTTGGGGGTGGTTTGCCTCGTATCATTGATTGCCATCAGCAGCTTCAGCGGTTGCTCAGGTCAGATCCTTTAGTTCAAATGTTAACGTGTCCCCAGGCAAGAAACACTTAGGAGAAGAGCTGCAGAATGCAATCAATCAGCAAAAAGTGAAACGGATGCTGCAGTCAGAAATGTAAAGAGCCAGTGTTATAGTTGCTGTAATATTATGTGCTTTTGTTTTGTAGATGAAAATGGAAACTAGCTAAACATCCAAAACACATTTAGAAATGTAGCCTTTTTCCTCTTCTGTTTAAAGTCTGAACAAATTCCAAAGGAAAATAACATTTGGCTTTTTGGTGAGAAAAACAGCTGCAGAAGTTTTTCACTGTTTCAGTTCAACACAGCTGTCTGCTGATAAACTCTGACAATAATGTGCAACTAAATCATCTCCAACATATACATTCTGCCTTTACCGGTATGCTTGAAGAAACATCCACTGTGCGAGAAAAGAAACATTAGTCGGGCTTTAAACAATCTGACCCGACTCGGCCCCAGCCCATAGCCATTTTTTCCGAACCCGACTCAATCTGATCAAATTAACTGTAATTACAGGCCTGACTCCGAAAAAAATAAATAAAATAAACAACATTGCTTTTATTAAGCTTTTACTGCATTTGTAAGCAAATCAGTTTGACATGATATTCTAAAAACGTATTTCAAAGAAAGGAGGATATAAGATTTCTTGTTTCACCAAATGGATATTAACGTACAAAATGAATAGCCTAAAAAAATCAACTCTAAAGACAGACTATTATACAGATGAACAAAATATTTTAAGAGCAAAGTTATTTGGAAAAATATAAAACAAGGCTATTTTAATTGAACGTGCTGTTCGCTTCGGTTTTTGTAGATGCTGCTACTTCCTTCACTGCAGATGAGAGCAGGTGTGGAGACACGTGAGGCCGATGATCCGCAAATCAATCCATCCATCCATCCATCCATCCATCCATCCATCCATCCATCCATCCATCCATCCATCCATCCATCCATCCATCCATCCATCCATCCATCCATCCATCC